TCTCCCGTGTCTCCCTCCTCTCAGGGTTTTGGGCATGCACACACACACACCCAGCACGTTTCCTAAGCTGCCAGGGAAGAGCTCAAACTGCATAGCCGGCCATGTGGAACCCAGGTCCCTTAATCACCAGGTCACGAGTTGGCTCCGTTTGTTGTTCTATAAGAATATACTATAATTTACCTATTATAGTATAGAACACTCTCTTTTTTACGGACTTTTGGGTTGTTTTTAGTTTCGTTTACATGGGACTGCTATGAACATTACTATACATGTGTCTCTGTGGAGATATGCCTTCATTTATCTCTAGTAAATATCTACGAGTAGAATAGCCACAATATAAAATAGGCAACGTTTACCTTTAAGATACACTGACAGTTTTCAAAGTTTACCGTTTTAAACTCCCTCCAGCAATGTCCGAAAGTTCTAATTGCCCCATCCTTACCAGTACTTGGTATGGGCGGTGTTCTATCTTTTCAGCTATTCTCGTAGAGTCTCGTTGAGAGTTTAACGTGTATTTACCGAAGGACTCAAGATTGTGACCGAGCATCTTCTGACATGCTTATTGGCCACTTGGCACCCTCTCATGCAAACTGGCTCTTCAGGTCTTTGTCCATTTTAAGTTGGATTGTGTGACTTTTTTTTGCTTATTTGCAGGGGTTTTTTATATCTTCTGAATATGACTCTTTTGTCAAATGTATTATTGAAAATAATACATCAACGATATACCATGTTATATATTAGTAAACATATACAATATCACCCTGTCATGGCTTATCTTTTTACTCTTTTTATGTATGTTTTTATTTTAAGAAGTTCTCAATTTTTTATTTCTTCCATGACAAGGGAAACACAGAGGGAGAGAAACAGAGAGACAGAACCCCGATAGGGTCTTGACGCCACGATCCACTTCCAGCCTCAGCTAGCCCTGGGTCATGGGAACACACATGCCCAGTGCACGCAGAGAGGTCTCTGGAGTGAACCCAGAACCTTCCCAATGCATCAGCCTCACGGAGTGTTACAGTACCACTGTGCCACTGTAGAGCCATCAAAAAACCCTCACTTTTAATATATTGAGTGGTTGGAAAATAATGATGCGTTTTTGCATAGAAAAACACAGAAAAATATGTCATGACGTTTCCGACGACCCAATAGTAAAATTGTTTTATGGTTAGTGCTTTTTGTGTCCCGTTTAAGAAATTTTCGCCTACCCCAATCATGAAGCTATTCTTAGGTGTTTTCTTCTCGAGACATTGTTTTTGTCCTTTCTATTTTGTGACTACAGCAGCGATAGTATAGGAGGTTTTCTGCAACTTAACACTTCTTTCTGCCTTCTCTGGGCCTTCTGCTGAGTATCCAACTGCAAGACTTTTCTGAGAGACCATGTGAAGTCACCAATGTCACAGCCAACTGCCCTAGCCTGTCACAAGGCACCCTGAGTTCACATTGTGATAGCTTATCAGTGGGCAGAACAAATATTTTACTTCACCTCTACTTCATTCTGGAGTGTCTCTGTTCTCTCTGTTTGGAAATTTCTGCAAATAGCAGATTGAAAGGTAGCACCCTTGGGCAGGTGGCCCCAGCAATGGTTCTTATTCTCTTGAGTTTTCCTTGTTTCCTAAGTTCTCTATAATCAACATGTATTTTATGTATGTATTTTTTTTTAGTTTTTTTGCTAGAGGTCATGTGTACTCGCTGGAGAGAGACAGAGCAGAGAGAGTAAGAGGGGAAAGCTAGAGGAGATGGCCACACGGCAATCCCTACTCCTCCATTCTGCTCTCAGGACTGGGGAACACATGCACACGCATCTGGTGTGGTTTTCAAGCTGCTGGGTCTAGGACTCAAACTGTGCAATTGGCCATGGGGGTCCAGCTGCCTTAAACTCCACACCACCTGCTGGCCCTGTGTATATTTTTAATTAAAAAATAAAACTAAAAAAGAAAATGTTAAGGACCTAGCAGGTAGTATGGAGGTTATGGCACTGGGCTCCCACATGGACAACCATGGTTTGAGTCCTGGATCTGGCAGCTTGGAAATCACACTGGGCACATGTGTGTGTGTGCCCAAAATCCCAAGAGGAGAATGGAGCAGAAGGGAATGAAGTGTGACCATCCTCCCTGGGAGATGACTTCTCACTTCCCCTCTCACTGTCTCTCTCTGACTTTCTCTGGCAAATGCTCTCAGCCTATGGTAAAAACCTTAACAAAATAAGTTGAGGTGCTGTGATTAAAGTATATTTATGCTTTTCCATTTGTAGGAAAATGTAAAAGGTACGCTATATAGAGTATACAATTCTTTCCTATATAGAGTATAAGGGGACCTGGGGACTTGGTGGCAAATACATATTATGAAAACCTATGCATGGATTACAAAAATTATTTGCAGGAAAATAAGCTCATACTTTAATTCCAATTTCCACGAACTTTTTGAAGTCCCCTCACATGCTGACCGCACACTGTGACATGTAAAGTACCTTCCTCAGTTAACGTCTATTGGGCAGACATAGCAATTTCATTCATTTAAAAGCTGTCTGAGGTTTACATATTTTTTCCTTACCAATAACTTAATTTTTAAAGAATTACTTATTTAATTTTAGGTGTTATTATTATTTTAAATTTGCTATAGGACATGTGCACTCACCAGACAAAGAGGGGAAAGTGAGGAAGCAAGTTGCCATGTCCGGGACTCGAACTGTGGTCGGCCATGTGGGAGTCCAGTGTCCTTAACCACGACACCACCTGTTGGCCTCCTTAATGTTTTTATTAAGATCTTGGTCAAGTTTTTTTCTTGCTTGTGATCTCACCTTACCCACAAATGAAGCAACAAAAAGCTTTTAAAGTATAACCACTTGCCCAGTAACACTACTTAATGGCCAAGAATGGAGACTGAGCAGCTCCCCGTGATAATGGTCATATTACAGAAGCAGAAGAACTTCTGGGTAGAGGCGTCTGGGAAGCGCCACGACCCCCTGCTCCAGGCCCTCCTTCCCTGCCCTGCTATGGGACAGTTTTTACAGAGCTGTATCCCGTCACCCAAGCAGTATTTAGAAATGCATAGTTTACTTGACAGCATTTACAAATGATGTCTTTTCCTCAGAATAACTTACACTGTGGAACTGCTTCCATATGCTAAAGTTGGACACGCTGTTGTAAGAGAAACAAAAAGAGCTGTCTTTTAGTAGCTAGTTTTCACAGACATACTCAACTACAATGTGCACAAATTAATAATGCTGTCCCTTAAGAATTTACCATAAACGGTTTTCTAATCTTTCTGCTGTGCTCTGCTAAAGACTGGGAGATTTTGCTGCAAAAAACAGGTCAGAAAGAATTCAATTGTGATTTATCTATGCATGAAAAAAAAATTGGTAGGATTCATAAGCCTTAAATTTTAATGAAAAAAAAGATAGTTTCTCCTAAATCCTTTGTGCTCCTTAATGTTCCAGAAAGAGACAATGTCCAACCTCTAACTCCAAAAATACATATGCTCCTTATTTGTTTTTATATTCGATCACTGTATACCTTGACAGCAAACAAAAAAGAAAGGAAAAAAAAAAAGAAAGAAAGAAAGCATTTTCTCAGTTACCTTCTTTCTATCTTGACTTTAGAGCAGGGGTTCGCAAACTGGTCTGCAGGCTAAATCTACCTCACCACCTGTTTTTGTAAATAAAGTTTTATTGGAACACAGCTGCATCTGCAATGTACATATTGTCTCTGGTTCCCTGGTGTTGAGTAATTCTGGCAGCATTACACAGACACGAGGAGCTCCTAGGCAGCAGAAAGGGACTGCAGGGACTTCCCCAGTCATATCATGCGTCTACTTCTTTGGGTTTTTTTTTTTTTTTTTTTTTGGTTGTTATTTTCTTTTTAGGTTGTTTTTGTTTGTTTTTGTAGGGTTTTGTTTGTTTATTTGTTTGTTTTGCCATAGGGAATGTGCACTCACCAGAGAGAGAGAAAGAGAGAGAAAAAGACAGAGACAGAAAGGGAAAGTGAGAAATCACCCCCCAGGGGGATGGCCAGACTGCAATCCCCTTTCCTCTGTTCTCCTCCTGGGAATTTGGGTGGGCACGCAAACACATGCACTTGGCGTGAGTTTCAGGGAACTGGGTCTGGGCCTTGAACCATGAAGGAGTCCAGCACCGTAAACACCATATCACCTGCTGGCCCCAAGCATCTATTTCTACACAAACATCAGCCCAGCACCTGCTCTGCTGCAGGACAGCAGGCTTATGTAGGCGACAGTGGCAGTTCGTTTGCCATGAATCGCGCAGAGCTGGAGAGGAGGTCACCTGCTCCACATGCTCTACTTGTTCCTCCAGATGCTCTGTCCACCCTCCACTGGCCCTGTGGCCTAGCTGGCCTGGAGGACGGCACGGGGGTGGCTTGTCTTCTGCCTTTTAGTTCAGCTCAGCCAAAGGGAGTCGCAGTAGCAGGTGTGGGGATAGGAGGGCATAGAGGACCAGGTTCCTACTCCCCAGCTGCCTGCCCTCCTGGTCGCCAGGTGGCAGTGGCAATGGCGCTCTAGCAGACATCACTGCTCCTGGGCCCTGTTGCTTCTACCGCCATGGTGACAGCTACAGCTCTCTCTAACCGACACCTGTCATTGACCATGAAGGTGCCTCTAGGGAGAGTGACAACTCCGCCATTCCCAGGTGAGTCCCTCATGCCCTGCCAGTCTCATCTTCTCAGTGACCTGCTCAGCTGCCTATTCTGAAGACACAGGTCACAAAGCCAGCACTGCTCTCAGACCAGAGGCACTCCAGGCACAGGACATTTTTATTGGGTTGTTGGAAAGTCATGGCATATGTTTTTCTGTTTTTCTATGCAAAAATGCATCACGACTTTTCCGATGACCCAATAGTTCCAGGCACGTGGGAAGAAAGGGTGGACAGGAGAGCGGTCTGTGCAAGGTGCCTCCTCAGCGTCTGCAGGGACTCACTCCCCAGTAGAAGGCGGCTCAGGCTACACAGGACCAAGCCCGCTCTCGGACAGAGACAGGTGGCTTACCTTTCTGTGCTCGGTGGAGGGCTGTGGACAGACCAGCTGGAGGCCGAGCAGCAGGAGGGGACCCAGGACCCTAGAAGGAAAAACAGCAGCAGGAAGGGCTATAAGTATGTCCCAGGCAGCATCTCCGTCTCATCACGCAGGGAAGACGGTGGTCCCACCCGGGTCCCAGGGTGTGCTCCAGTCTCAGAGGACAGGGGCCGGCAGGTGCTGGGTCAGGACCTCGGCCTGGAGCAGAAATGGGGTTGGATCCCAGCCTACACGCTCACACCAGGGCTTCTTGGTGAAGGCGGATAACCTGCGAGCCTCAGTCTCCTCCCTTGTAAGGTGGGATCACACAGGAGGTTGGTGGGAGGACTGGGGAAGACAATGCACTATAGCCAGTATAGACCACATGGTCACCCAGGCCTGGGCCTTCAGGGAGGGTGAGATCAGGGGAGAGGTGGTTCGGAGCCTGGAAGGGACATCCCTCTCTTCATAGCGGCCTGGCCTTTGCTTGGAACCTTTCCTCTGCCACCTTCAGCCCGTGGCGTCCCAGTTCTCCACCGCAGATCAGCTGCGTTAAGCCCCACTGTCACCAGCCCTGATTAGGGCTTGTCATCACGTAAAGGGAAGATGTGGGAAGAGGAGCCAGCTGGCCCTGAGACAGCGGGGCGTGCTGGAGCGAGCAAGAAAATTTGGATTCAGATACATCTAGGCCAGAATCCCAACCCCGTCCCCATCTGGGTGATCCTGGTAAGTTCATGAAGCCTCAAATGAGCTCACCTTCTGTAAGGATGAAAACACCTGGCACAGCGAGCCAGTCAGAGAACAGTTGAGCACTGCCGATTAATTTAAATGCCCAAAGTCCCCCAGTTTCTAATCACCAATGTTATCATTTTAAGCATCCCCATAAAGAGACCATTACATCTTTTGAACATCTGTTTAGGATTTAACCCTGAAGGCAGCTACGTTAAATAACATGGTGATTCCCAACTTTGTTTTCGTTTTTTACCATAGAGCACGTGAACTCACCAGATAGAGACAGAGAAAATGAGAGATCATCCCTTAGGTGGGATAGCCATGCCGCAATCCCTTCTCCATTTGCCTCTCGGGACTTTGGGCACACATGCACACGCACCTGGTGTGATTTTCAAGCCGTCAGGTCCAGGGCTCAGACCGTGGTCAGCCATGTGGAAGTCAGCACCTTAACCACCATGCACCTGCTGCCCCCTCCAACGTTTTTTTTTAAAAGTTTATCCACTGGGACCACCAGATGGTGTAATGGTTACGTTGCTGGACTCCAAGTAGTCAACCGCAGTTCAAGTCCCGGTCCTGGAGACCGGATGCATGTACACGCATGATCAAAATCCAGAGAGGAGAATGGAGGAGAAGGGACTCCAGCATGGCCATCCCCCTGGGGGTGATTTCTCACTTTCTGTCTCTCTTCTCTCCAGTGAGTGCACATGCCCTATAGCAAAAATCTCTCTTAAAAAAAAAGTTTATTCCCTTATTTCTTCCATGAGAGAGAGATAGAGAGAGAGAGAGAGGCGGCCCAGCCGGGCTTTCACACCCCGATCCACCCCACCCTCGGTCGCTCTGGCGCAGGCGCTGGCTGCACACCCGATGCGTTCAGGGAGGTCCTGGGATGCAGACACAGGAACCACACCATGGGCGCCCGTGGCATTACCGCTGCACCTCTGCCTGTCCTCCCCCGGCCCCAAACTTTCTGAGGCCCCTAACGTAACTGAAAGATGTGAAACACTCCCATCTCAGGACAGGGTCCACGCAGGGAGGTGACGGGATGGGCTGAATCTGGAGGTGAGGGCTGTGAGAGCCCAAACCCCACCAACCCCGCATTGTGTGTGAACGCGCCAAGGCCCCAGCCCACCACGGACAGGACGAGCCATGCTGGCTGGAGGCAGACTGAGGGGGGCAGGAGCGAGGGACATGTGGAGAGGCAGTGCAGCCCTTTCTGTCAGCTCTGTGTGGCAGCCGAGCCCACCGCTGCCATCCCAGGCCACTACGAGTGCAGAGCTACCTCCGAGCCCACCGCTGCCGCCCCAGGCCACTGCGAGTGCAGAGCTACCTCCGGCAGCCGAGGACACAGCCCCGGGCTCCGAGGGGCACCACTCCACTGGGGTCCCCTTCGCCCAGGCGGCACTCCTCCCAGCTGCACCCTGGAGGAACTGGGAACAGCAGAGAGAGCGGGAGGGCAGGGGCTAGCCAGGACCTCTCCCCACCGGGCCTGAGCCAGACCAGGCCCAGTCAGGCCAAGAAGAAGAGCTGAAAATTGGATCCGAGATGGGAGTTTTTGTGTCTGATTTGACTTTTTTTCTTTCTTTCTTTCTTTGGCTTTTTTTTTTTTTTTTTTGGAGAGGTTTTTGCTATAGGGTGTGTGTGCTCGCCAGAAAGACAGAGAGAGACAGAGACAGAAAGCGAGAAATCACCCCCCGGGGGGATGGCCATGCTGCAATCCCTTCTCCTCCATTCTCCTCTGAGGACCTTGGGCATGCACACACACGTGCCCAGCATGAGTTTAAGCCACCGGGTCTGGGACTCGAATCACAGTCGACTACGTGGGAGTCCAGCGACATAGCCATTACGCTAACTGCTGGTCCCCTTTCTTCTTTTTCTTCTTTTTTCCTTTTTTCTATAGGTTCATGCTTACCAGAGAGACAGAGAGACAGAGAGGGAAAGTGAGAAAGTTCCCCCTGGGGGGGGCGCTGGCCACACCACAATCCCTTCTCTTCCACTCTCCTCTTGGGACTTCGGGCACACATGCGCATGCACCCAGTGTGTTCTTCAAACCGCTGGGGCAGAACGCAAACCGCAGTCAGCCATGCAGAGGCCTGCTGCCCTAACCAGCACACCACCGACGGGCCCAGAACCTCTTTTCCACACAGTATCCTTCATGCAAGGAGTCCAGTCAGAAAAGTGTAACGTGAAATGAGGGGTAAGAGAACGGGAGAGCGGGTTTCTAACCTGCTGACCAGTGCTGCCTCGGAGATTTCCCTGTGACAATGGAAACACTCTCCTTGGCCGTCCCGCACCCAGGTACACCGACCTGTGCCGTCTGGTGCACAGGAAGCCATGGACAGGTATGGGTAAGGGTATGCCGGCTGACCTGGGTTAGCTCCGAAAACTACTTACTAGGATGACAGGCACTCAGCCGATAAGCTCAGACAGGTACACACATTGTGGGAGGAACTTTGTAATACTCGACTGTGAGACAGTTCACTAAAACTACCACAAACCAGAGTGTCATCCAGCGATGGGCACTGATGTCTCAGAGACTGGGGTGGAGCGAGGACCGTATCTCCTTACCGTACTCTCATACGTCCAGTTGGTCCTCCACTCCGGGGACACGGGCATCACCACTCAGAGGCCCACGCTCTGACTGGTCCCCTGAGCCTCGGGTTCCTCATCTGTAAAATGGGAGCACCGTAACCCGCCCTGCCTACTTCCACCAGGTCACTGTGGGAGGAAGCACGTCGTGAACCCGCGCCTACAAGCTGGAATCATTCCTAATGCATTCTGGCACTGTTTGCTCATTTAAAAAGAAAGCCAGATTAGCGTGGCTTCCTTAAGAAAATAAACAGCAGCTCCATGAACGTGCTACACCTCAGCCCCGCCAAGCTCCGGCACGCATGCTGCAGCCGCAGACTGGATTCCTAATGAGATCAGGACAGGATCTGAGGCTGCGCTTCCACAGCCTTCAAAGGGGGACTCGGAGTAAGAGGGAGCCACAGGTTCTCAGGGAGGGGGGCTCCGGGCCTCCCCTCCTCATGGGACTGCATTCCAGGCCCCCTGGTCAGTTCTGCTCTGCTTGTCCCATGCCCAACTCTGTTCATTCCATCCAGGCTCTTGTCTGCCTAAGGCTCCCCTGACTATGCTCTGACTGTGTCGCCAGGTTTCGAGTGTTAAGAGATGTAGCTCCCAAATGCACACGTTGGTCGTGCTGTGGAGGTGGGGCCTTTGGGAGATAATTAGGGCTAGATAATTGTGGTTCCTGTGATGGGACAGGTGGATTTTTGTTGTTTTTGTTTGTTTGTTTTTAGAGAGAGAGATTTTTACTATAGAGTGTGTGCACTTGCTGGAGAGACAGAGTGACAGCGAGAAATCACCCCACAGGGAGAAGGCCACCCTGCAATCCCTTCTCCAGTCTCCTCTCAGGATTTGGGGCACGCACACACACCCAGCATGAGTTTTAGTCCTACCAGGTCCGGGACTTGAACCACGGTCGACTATGTGGGAGTCCAGCAACATAACCATTACGCCATCCGCTGGTCCTAGGACAAGTGGTTTTCTAAGTGGAGCAAGAGAGACCTGCGCTGACACGGGCGTGCGCTCCGGGCGTGCGCTCCCGCCGTGCGACGCTCTGCCACGGTCACAGCGCGGGGCCCTCTCCGGGTGAGGGGCCGTGCTCTCCAGCTGCCCCGTCCTGAATAGACCTCTGTGCTTCCTAAACGAGCCAGTCTGCGGGACTCGGTTACAGCAACGAGAACAGACGGAGACCCTGACACTGCGAGACGGCTCCCTCTCCCAGCCAGGTCTCACTTCGCCCAGTCTCTCGCTATCTCGCACCAAGTGCTCCTCGTTTGAACTTCTCCACTCACCCACTAGTCTCTGTGAGGTCAGGGCGTTGCGTCGTCAGCCCTGATTCGCCAGCACTCAGCAGAGTTGCCTGCTACAGGGTAAAAGCTTAACTCTCTGAATGGACGATGCTTCAGCATCTTGACCATCTCTGAAATCGCAAGGTCAGGGGAAATGGTACACACATTAACTTACTCAAAAAGGTCCAAAGTACCTGAGAGATTTGAAAAGTTCTTTTAGGAGGGGCTTATAAGAGTCCATTGTGATTCTGAATTTCTATGTGATGCCCTAAAAACACAATCGTCAAGCTTTGCATGAGATGTGGCTGGGAAATATTTACTGGTGCTTCTGGTCGCAAAAAAGTCCAGCACACGTTCTATTTCAGACGTTCTCGCGCTTCCCTTCACGGAGCTGAGCCCTCGCAAGGCAAAAATGCATAGGGATACCCAATAAAATTCACTCTGGAATAAAACCTTAGTTATTAAACTGGCTCTGCTC